GCCATTGACCAATTATACTCTTATTCAAATTTTTCTCTTATTAACTGCATTTATAAACTATCCACTCAATAACTACACAACGAATAGTATATTGCAATGACACGTGTATAACAGTTTAAGAATTTCTAAATCATCGAACATTTACGTCACATTCTTGATAAGTTCCCAAAGTACTTGAGTTTTTTCATTCGGGATTTAGAATTTTTAATAATTAAAAGATGATTATTCTGATACAATAATTTACCGATAGAAAATGTTAGTTTATAAAATATCGAGAGCACGAAAGAACATTCCGTATTTGGAAAATGCAGAGTAGAGTTTAGATGCCTTTCAGCTCTACAATTTTAACGAGCATATTTTGCCAATTCTGTAAAACAAATTCTTGTAAAACAAAATTCTCCTACATCATAATTATAATATTTGTATCCAAACTTGCCAAGGAGATTTCACTCTATTAAAGCTATCGATCGTTTATTAATTATAACAAATCTCTATAGAACATGGAATCTGTAATGCTATCTTGAAAACATTTATTATAATTCTACGTAGATTGCTGAAGTTTTTGTTATTCTTTATGAAACCTGTAAGATATACAGGATTCTCAAATATACTTCGTTCATTCAAGAATTACAGTAGAATCCATCTCAATTAAACGGATCTAATTCGAATCACAAGCACGTTTCTAATCGTAATCTACGCGTTGCGATGCAAATTTTTAACGACGCTCGTCTACGTTGTTGACTGAGATTACAGGCTTCTTTTCTTTTATTCGTTTTAATAACTGCAGGCGAATGACATTGAAGGATGAATAGAAATTTTAATTAAAAGCTCCTTTAACCGCTTTTTCTCTCCTTCTCTCTTTTTCTTCCATCCGCGCGCATCGACTGATTTTAATAATATTCTTTATCGACAGGAAACAATTGTTTGTACAATTACGTTTTATATTTTTACTCGCGCCGCGAGTCTCTTATTTTATTTTATATCCAACATTCAATATATCGGTATTCACGACTATATTAATTCGATATTATTTCCACAGTGATTATTAATCAATTTGATTCATCTTACGATAATATACAAATATACAGAGTGGCCTAACAATTGCATAGAGAATATTATATCTCGGATGCTAATCGGATTAATAAATCGGATTAATACCTATTTTATGAACAAATCCGAGTCAGCTTCATGTGCAAGTCATAAATTATTACGTTGAAAAATAATTAGCTCTAATATTAATTCTAATATGCTCAAACACAGTAAACATTAAACTATGATCTTTAAAACGTTCCGACAAAATTATTAGAAGAATAAAGGAATTATTTACCGGACAATTATAGTTGTTCCAACGTAATAATTTATAATCCATAACAAGAACCGAGATACGCGACGCACGTTTTGATTTCAAAGTACGTTTTTCCTATCATCGGCTGCTAGATCGCTTACACTTCTGTGTTATCTCGAAATCTTTTTATAATTTCTTACTACTTATTAATGTCTAAGAGTTACAACTTCTTTTCACGTAGAGACCAAAAAAGCTAATTTTCATTCGAGCCATTACCTATTGCGTTCATCCGTTTGCGTAGCATACGTTCAATCGACCGATTAGAAGAGACTCGTTTGCGAAAAGCCTGCGAATATAAGTGCAACGCATTTTTATTCTAGCCAGCAGTAATTCGCGCGGTTCACAATGTGTTCCAAGCGCAACTAAGTTATATTGCGTGGGAATTTCTCGTGTCACGCGCGATGCTACACCGTAGAAAAAGTATCTGAAGTTAACCGTGTTGTGCAAAAATTATCGTTGGCCTTCTTCAAACTGACAAGCTTGCCTATTATTATGCTCGGTTGTCTGATCGATTCTCTTTAAAACCCGCGGTACACGTATGTCGAGGTCGATACTAGCTTGTAAGTTACAACATGTGTATTTTGGAATGGCCCAGGTAATACGGCTGATTAATTTAAGTTAAACACGAAGATCTGTATCGTTTTAGATACGAACTTCAATCTACTTCAATTTATCGGTACTTCGCTAATTTATTCTCAAGATTAATTTCTCTTTAAAATAAGACAAACTTTTGAACATATACCTTCTTTCGAGCATAGATATGAACACTTTTATTACTCATTATTGAGTACACGTTAACTCAAGATAGATATAAATAACTCTTTCAGTTTATTTCGTCTATATAAAGAGATATTAAAAGCTGAAAGATCTTTAATTTCTTTAGAGTCTCTGTGCGCGGAAGGATTAGTTATTGTAGTAAAAATAAAAACTCAAATGCTGCAAATTACAGCGCAAACCGCGAGAAATATTGCTGAATTATCGGAAACGGATAACCAAACAATTACGGTGCAATCTGTAACGTATATATAATATCAGTGTGCTGTGCAGTATTCACAGCAGCATATACGAAAGGATAAATCAAGAACGAGACATAATGGATGTACTGCGGGCTTAATGATCGTTTCTGCCATTTGGAACCGATCATGCCAAAATATATACAACGTACGTCGATAATTCTGTGCATTATGGTAAGGCATCTTAAATGCATTCGTGAAAGCTTTTTAGAACACCGTTAAAGAACGAAAGAACCAAAATAGAGAATTCGTAAAATAGAGAATACTTTAGCTTCAACTAAAAATCTGTTTTATCGATTTCGATAGGAAGAGATCGCTCGTAAATAATGTTCGAAATGTATTTAAAGCATTAAGAATTTTCATATTCGGGTCAAAATAATATATGATGATGACTTACCAACTCGGAGCAAGGCACAGGATTCTCGACAGGAAATGACCAATTCATCCGTTTTCGCACGTGCCACAAGTTTCTCAACTTATTTGCCATGTGAAGAACGTCACGTTCTTGATGTTGCATATCCGTAGTACGTGTGTGACGCTTTTCCATAAATCTTAAATTAAAATATATGCAAGCAAAGTACATTGACCTCGGTGCACATTGTGTTCCTCGCGAGTACACGTCGATATATGCTACGTGCAGGATATGAGAAGAGAAAGAAAAAAGAAAAAAAGAGAAAACACGAAGCCTTCGTAATGAAAGGTGTCGAAACGTCGACGAGCACGCTGTCGAACGGATTAAAACGATCATTATGCAGTTACGAGGTCGATTCCCTTCGTATCGATTAGAATGGTAAATGGAATTAATCGTTCATTCTTTTTCTACACCGTACAATTGCAACGTGACAAAAAAGAAAAGGCTGATGACGTCCCGCGTAATAACGATCGAAATAAAGACCATCGCAAATCTCGTAAAAGCAAATTAATGCACCAGACGTAATTAGAAGAGGTTTGTTTGGTCGATTTCATCAGTTAACTCTTCAGCTATAGATTAATTTACTTTTTATCCTTCTCTTATTCCTATTCCGAAGAGTGCAAATAAATTAGGATTCAGATTAAACCTGACTGACGTTCAAATATCTAGACTGTTATTTTCGTAACAATCATATATCAATGATCATTATCATTGGAACTCCTATATATGAATTTCTCGCGGCAGTCAAGATACATGTTGAAGATTTAGTTACACCTATATCCAAGGAAATAGCGAGAAAATAATAAAAAAAGAAAGCACGAGTACATAGATTTTGTGAAGCGACTCGCGGAGTTTCGAGCAGAAATTTCGACTATCCGGAAATTAATATCCGCTTTTATCGCCTCCCGCACTCTGCTTCTCTCCACCGTTCCCTTAATCCACGAGCGCGACGGACATCCGCTGGATTTCTGGCGAACACGATAATATGTACATACGAGCCGTATTGCAGGTGCTACTCTCCGCATCCGCTGCACGCTGTAATAACATCGTATGCGAGGTACGTATCGATTTCTCAGCGGAGGGATGACGCGCGTGCTGGTCGACGATGCAATGCTTTCCCGCGGTGTGCCAGTATAAAATTAACGTTGTGTCACCCCTAAGCGATATTATTCCCCCTATCTAATCGACATTACCTCGTAATTCGCAATTCGTTGTGTTAGCACCTCACGCGGGCGCGTAACACCGTCGTCATATCACGGACGGTGGCCGGCATCGCCCTCTCGCAACGCCGATCTTGGATACGACCTGCATCGATCGATCGATGCAGATCCAAGAAAAGAAAAGGACGCATATCGCGATCGCTCGTGGCATGCGTCTCTCGTGCGTCTTACGCGCACGTAAGTCTCTCGCAATTGTTAATTATATACGAGACTCGCTCGTATGAGTATCTTTGCTTTCACCCTCGGCGAAATTCCACTGAAATTCCATTCGCGTTTACGGTACATCACAATTTCAGGCCAATTGCGCCGACTTCGATCAATTGTAATCCCGATTGTAATCCTCTGATGCAACATAAATTTCCTATCTTATTTAGAATTTCTGTATACTATTAGGATTACTAGTCAACCTTGTAGCTCTCACGGCGTAATCTAATCAAGCGAGTCTTACAGAATGAGTAATGGAGTGAAGTGGAGACTAACAGTGATAAACAAGTAGTTTACACGAGATTGAAATCACAGTCGGCTTTGAGCTGTTCTAACGTACTTACAGGGAATTAGAAAAAGCGATCTTCGTGCAAAGATTTAAATTTTAAAAAATTAACAGACTCAAATCAGATCAAATTAATCGTAATTACGATTTCAAAATTATATAATTTAAGACCTATTTATATTTAAGATTTATTTGTAATTTTTATGTATACAAAAATGTGCTTTTGTAGATACTTTAGATCAAGTATTTGTAATAATCAAGCGGTTTGTAAAAAATTTATGACGAGCTTGAATAATTTTATCAATTATATTATAACGGAGCAAAATTTGTCGTAAAAAGAAAAAATAGCAGTTTAGCAAGCCTCATCATGAAACTCCTGGAAATTATTACGAAATCCAGAATGAAATTAGAGTTGTGTTTGCGACAAGCAAAATTGTACGAAGCTATGTGCAAAATCTTTACAACCCCTAAAGCGCATCAGAGGATCATGAGGTTTCTGGTCTTCGTCTCAGTTACTAGACGGGACCATAATCCGGAAAGAGATAGCGAATCGTTTGTCCGGGACCAGTTAAGCTGAATCCTCGGTGCGAACGCGGATTTCGAGAGCCACTTCGCGGTCCTCAACGACCGACATTGTCACCTTCCTCGATGAGAACGTAAAGCTCATTCGAGTTAATTCTAACACCGCACTTCAAGGACATTCCTGAATCCGGATGACGAATTCGGCGAGGCGGAATCCACTGTGCAATTGTCGACATGGCGAATTCGCGAAACAGATGAGGATTTCCACAAGCTAATTAGATCCCTCGCCGTCGTCAACGATGATGTCACACTCTTTGTTTCTCATATTTACGAGACAGGACCTAGGATCATTTACACATCACCGTTGTTGCTGTCCTGCAGTCAACTATGCGAATATCTGGGCGAGCGGTGTGCTATTATCTCTCGCGAAATTTTTCCTCTTTCAAGTCTTGTTCCCACGGGGATCGACAGTAATTCGATTTGAATCGCTATTCCTCCTCGTTTATCTATCATCCTCGATCGAGTTATCATGGCTCGTGCCCTCCTCGTCGGGCACGAGCGACTGCCTGGTTATCGAACCGTCACAATAATAGCGTATGTCATAGTTAATAGGAAATTGTCGTTGATACGTGTCGCGTGTAAATGATGCGTGTGTGTTCGCGAGTGTCCGTTTTGGTGGTGGGTTTATTGTTGCCGGCGTTTTGACGTTTCCGTCGAGTTCTATGAGGGAGTCGGTGTGGGGCGTGGTGTCCTTTACGATCGCGCGTCGACGACTCGTGCGGAAGTGCGGCGACGTCGGGATTAAGGAGCGAGCATCTTCGACAGCTCCTCGTCCTGGAGGCAACCCTTCAGAAATTCTTCCTGCGTTAACTGCCCATCGTTGTTCTCGTCCATCTTCGCGAATATATTCTTCGCTCTTTCCTCTGCGCTGTCTGCCGGCCTATTGCTCGAACATGCGCCGAGCATGTCGTATATCGCCTGAAAACAGAACATAACACTTTGTTTCTTCACGTTGTATTCACGCTCACGTAGAATCAATGCATCACCCGTCACACGTTTGGAAAACCAGTCTATTTGGCATATCCGATACAAAGGATAGTTTTGCATCAATACCTTGGAGCACTGAAAACGACATCGTTTTCCGATGAAAGAGGAAATGTTCTCTATTTTTGATTCATAAAATGATATCAATTATTCTCGTTCCAAAGCATTGATACATTTCTAATTTATATTCGTAACGATTCGTAAGAGATCTCAAAGTTTAAGTTTAAGTTAATAAAGTAGATTTATATATAATAGAGATGTGCAATCAAGCATTTGTGAGGTTGAATCGAATCGAAACGAATTCTTTGATATGTTCGAAAACAAATCGAATTGAATTTAAAATTTTTACATCGAATCGAACTTTACGTCGAATCTTTTTTATTCAAAAAAAGTGAAGCAAATTTAAATCAATTTTTTCCGGATTTACATTAAAAGCTAATTTAAAAATAAAAAAGTGTTTTCAATAACGTTACAAATTTGTTTAAATAAACGAAAAAATAAATCATTTTTAATTTACAAGTAATACCAAAAAATAACCAATATGACAAAAGTGTATTAAAAACACGTCTTCTAATAAAAAATAAATTTTATTTCTGGCATTACTGTAACAAGCTGTATTCAGAAGTCAAAGCCGTTCAGCTTAACGGCTTATTCTTTAATATAATTAGTTTTTGCTTTTAATTCTTTATTGGATCTAAATGTATAAATCAATCGTAATAAAGAATCATAAGCGGCTTTGTCTTTTCAACGCAGCCAACAGAATTCAATGATAATCGATGATACACAATGATATATAAATAACTACACGTGCATCTAGAGAGAGCAAGAATTGATACGTTCCGATATAAAGACTGGTCGTACAGATAATATACGTAAGAAAGAGATATGCATAAATGAAGAAAATAAAATAGACAATTGATTCAAAATTTAACCATCGATTTAATAATTGAAAATTATTCGATTTCTCGAGTCTACTATAATTCAATTCGATTCGATTCGAATTCGAACTATTCACAAACCTTTATTATAGCGTCTTTTTATAAATTAAAGATATTAGTACATTTCCCCAGTTCACAAAAAAAATGTGAATTAATGTAGCAAGATTAATACACGTGCGTATACGTTGTAACTTTCATTAAACAGAGACTCTATATCGATTTTAATTATGTCACAATGCAATAACGTATATAATATATCATATTCCTCATCAGAATACTCAATAAGATGAATATATTTCAACGGATATTAAGTATTTCCAACGCATAAAAAGAAATATAGAAATATTTTTTTAATTTAATACGTTTATATGTGCACGTTCTTTCAAAAATACTATTTTTCCTAAGAAGATAGATAGAGCAGAAGTGTAGATTTACGTATCATGCATTACAAACGCAACAAAGTCGTAAATCATGAAAACCACGAACACAACCTTGGAGTCACGTTTTTTCAACAACAAGAGTCCGTCCTAAATCCATCAAGATGGAAGGTTACCGAGGCATACAAAAACAGTACCTGATTAATGAGCATTCAATGGCGACCACCGATGAGCTTTCGTTCTACGTACATAAACTATAAAATACATTCCATGCATCTATTTATTATTTTATAAATATACTTTTCAATAAAAATTTATATAAAGATTTATATTCGAATAAAGGTTTAAAATTTAAAAATTACGTGTCTCTAGCGAAACATAGAAGTGTACTGTATAACAATTTTGTACGTATATAACTTTTAATTTATTTACTTTGTATAATTAACTTTATATAAAATCAGTTTTATAAATATTATATTTTAAGTCATAATCATCTTATAAAAAATTACCAAATAAGCTTATACGAATATTATAAAAGTACTTATTGGCTGTAAAATTATCTTTAGCAGCGCAAAAAAATAAAAAAACTCCTTTTACTCATTTTATTTTGCAATTTTATTATCGTGAAATACATAATGCATTTGCAGTTCACCGGAAAATTGATAAGTTGAAAACGTATTATTATTTTTCTTATGCACGCGGTGTTTATAGATGAGCAAATCTCGACTAAATGATAAATCATGTTGCTCCAAAAATATAATTTATCGCACAGATACTTTTTTTGAGAGCCACTAAAGCGCACCAGTGATTCTTTATTTAGAATCTCTTTTCGTACTTTTTCCGATTAGTCCACTGTAAATCGCTTGGACAGAGATAAATGCGCGAAATTTATTATTTTCTCACCCAACAGTTAGACGTGAAAATAAAACAGATTAATTTTATCGCAAATTGGTAGACTCATCGATAAAAAACAGAATTATTTAAATAAAATTAATCTTCTTAGTTTTGTCTACATAATACATACTTATCGAAAAAAATTAATTAATCTTCAAACTATATATGCAGAATCATCTTATAAAAAAAAAAACATTCAAATGTGAATTACGTTGTACATAAATTTACAATATCTACTATGTAAATTATAATATCAATATACAATAATTATAGTAATTACTACAAGCTGCTGCTGTGTTGCTTTCACATAAAAAATTATATTTTTCTATATTCAGCGATTGTATACGGAACTATTGGTAATCAGTTAATTAAATCATTGAAATATGGAATCTCTAACCTATCTAATTTTATCTTAATGTATAAATTCAATGTATATATGATATTGGAATTAATGTGTAAATATCGGTATTTTGATTATATAATACACTCAAATTTTTTTTTCTGTTGAATTTCATTTGTCATCATAATAATGACCAGATTTAACTGATTCGAATTTAGAGAAGAATATTGAAAGAAAATTGCATATACATTTTTCGATTGATATAACCCATCTATTAAGTAGATTTAGTAGACAATTCAAAATTTAATAATAAAATTCTCAAAAGTAACTGTTACGTGTGATAACAAATCCATTATATGTCATCATGAACGACGTTCAAATGAAAATGACGTTCAAGTGGATGCATGAAAAATGGTTGTAGACGTCACCGTCATTATCAAACATCATGCACAATAATTGAGTTTCTCAACAACTATATTACATCGAATTTTGATCAAAGATTTGTATCTTCATGCTTATATCTTCATGCTTATAAAATTTAATTGACTCAAGAACTCATTAATTGATTACTACTTTGTAATGGTAGTTTTTGAAAGAAAATCATATTCATCACTTAATATGACACAGCTACTTTATTTGAATTTTGCTATTAAATTTTGAATTGTCTGTTTAAAAGTGCATTATACCGGAAAATAATTACGCACCATTTCCTTCCATTATAGCCACAATTGGTTATTTTCGTAATATGTTCGAACAATAAGTAATAATACATCATTTTGTAATAACTGTTTAAATAATAATTGTCTAGCATCAGCTTCTAAAAACTACCACCACGAGAAAAATGGTGGTCACTGTATATACAAATATTTTTGAAACAATGAAACGTTTGCTTGTGGAGATATTTGCAACAACCACTGTTAGGATACTCGGAGTGTCGAGAATGAAATGTACGGTCAAATGAGTTACAGTGGTTGTAGATGTTCACAGGTTAAATGCTAAACAAGGATGCACAGAGTTTCACCAAACATTCCATTGTTAATTTTCATCGAGGGCGGAAAGCCCTGGTTGCCGGAATTTCCGTGGAAGTCGCGGTAGTTCCGAACTTCTAATAGTGTAGAGATGAATATCCTAACGGACGCGACCAGACGGCTCGATGAGCTTTTTAATGAAAGCGATAACGTATCACAAAGTGTAAAGAATAAAACTTTTTCCGGCAAAACTTTTTACCGATAATTACAATTTACTTTAATCTTTTTTAAAATGATTTTCTCCACTTAGATTTAGAGAAATGATCATTTTTATAATACCAAGTAATCAGTTTTTTGTTAGGAATAAACAGATTTTTATGTATGATGTGTACAATTTTGTAAAAAATTAAAAATACCTGAGTATTTCATTTCCATAATTTTCAAGGGACCGATGTGACATAAAATCTTAAAAATTTTTAAATATGTTAAAATATTTTAATATTAAATATTAATATTTAATATTTGTGTAATATTAATATTTATATCATTTTAATATTAATTAAATTTCATTATATTATAGAAATTCGCTAAGTAATTAAATGGATAATACATCGACATAAAGTACAAAGCATCAATTATTTCAATAATTATTCCAATAATCAAACACATCTTATTTTTATTTATTGACGAAAGATCGGTATTATTATATTTCAATCATCCAATTTTTGCTAAATATTCTATTTCATTCCGCATAATATAATTAATTATAATTATATTATCGCAGAATGAGAGGCATTTTAACGTATAAATATTTTTTTTTCGTATAAGAATAGATTTGAATAAAAAAACAAAATAATAAAAAGCTGCGTTACATTTATAATATAATAATACTTTTATAAAGCATAACATTGTCGCTGCGTTTTTATATGATTTTCTACACTCTGTTAGTATACAAACGCGTTTCTCTATTCACTCGGATTTATACCTGAATATAATGTGATAATTAGCTTCTCAAGCGTGATTCTATCTTCGTGTCCTAATTTTCGGGTTTTATTCCGCGCAATAATCCTAAGTTTCTCCTAAAATATATCCCTGGGAAGTTTAAATATTATTAGTTCCTTTTGCGTTTGTAGAACACCTCTAGACTTTTGGCAATCCCACTCCTTTTGTTTTATGCCACAATGTTATATTCGATTAAAATTTTTACTGTAAAAAATGGCATATTTTTCTCATATAAAGACGCGTAAGACAAAATTGTGACTCTCATAATATTAAATTTAAAGGCAACATTTGACCTGTAATTTTATACGTGCTTACAATTATTATTGCAAAATATGTTGCAGAATTATCGCAATACATTCGTGCAAATAAATGAAAATTCAATAAAGACCATGCTGCCATTTAAAAATTAAAGCGTGCTTTTGCTTCACGCATGGAGAGTGTGACCTAGTAATTTCGCGGAAATTTATTATGCAATAGGTCGCACGTTACAAAGTTTCCATTCGTCTCGGTTAGTGCCCGCTACACCGAGCGGCACAGAAACTTTAATTACTTATTTAAAAATGAGACGCGACAGCTGTATTTAACGAAGCCTCGCTTCTGGTGTTCCGAGAAAGATATGGCCGTCAAGTGGCATAGCTACGTGGTTACATCGACATCCGTTCTCTCGCGAAGAGGGTTCATGAAATATTAGCGCGTCGATATTCGCTGCACACGCCGCTCAATACGCCGTAAAAAAAAAAAAAAAAAAAAAACAAGCGCCAAGGTATAATAGACAAATGCGGGAAAACAGTATTGATTTATTATCATGCAATCACGTGTTAATTATGCAAATCAGTGTTGACGTTGACTAATATTTATTTATATTCGTCACAATGGAAAATTGTTTATACTTGCATCTCGTTACGAACGATCTTGAATATCGCGTTGAATATGAAGAAAAAAATAGGATTTAGTGTGTATCGATAAAATGATATCAATTCGTACTGTATTCTTATTATGTATGCATTATTAAGTCTCTCATCGTGAGAGAAGTGTAACGACGTTACATGTGCCACATGCAATTAAACATGAAATTATGAACTTGCGATACGGAGAAGAAAAAAGTCGTGCATTTTTTAAATGTAAATATATTGTGCTGAATATATCAGAATCTCTTTTTCTCTCTCTTGATTAACTATGCCGATAGTACTGACGTCAAGTGATAAAAAATTCTGTATTCTGTCGGAAGAGTTGCGGTCGAGTGCAACTAAGTGGAGATAAATCGAAGCGCATGCATTTTTCATGAGTTACGGTACCTGGACGATCTTCGTCATTTCCTGCATATCGATAACGCCGTTGCCGTCAACGTCGTACATGCGGAACGCCCATTTCAGTTTTTCTTCCGGCGTGCCGCTGGACGTTACGTCAATCGCCAATAGGAATTCCTGCAACAAAAGCCGATGGTATCCTGTATCAGTAACGTTGTCACAGCTGCGCGATATCAAAACTTTTATTTCTTCGCTACAAAAGAATCTCCCTTTTGTGTGAAACGAAAATCTATTTCCCAAAATGTAGCTATGATACGCATTGAAGGGAGAACCGACTTCAAGATGCCATAATTCAAGCAGCTTTGCCAAAGCTATGGAAAATATTTATCCACTTGAAATACAACGATTCGAGAAGAAATCAGCTAAGCTCGTCTTAACATCAAAGGTTGAACGATTAAAATGTTAAGATCTAAACATTGATTTTAAAAAGTTTACTCAAATATTAAAATGTATAATTTTTTAATTCTTCAGATATTTTCAAATCTTCAGAAATTAAAATAAGAAGACATTATTCCTCTCTAAAAATAAATTATTCTGCTTTCTGAATTTTTTTTCTTTCCACCAATATAATTGTAGAAAAATTATAGAAGAATTGCTTAGAAGTAATTCTTAAATTAAATTTTAAAAAGTACTAAAATTATAGATAATCTATCATAAAATACATATTTTGCATTGCATAAAACTTTAATTCTTTTTCGAGAAATCTATTTTCTTGTTATATTTTCGAGAAATAAAAAAAAGACAAAATCTCAAAAAAATACAATATTTAAATATTGAACAAAAATTAAAAAGTTCTTTAAGTAATTCCGATATTCCCTATAAGAACTTTCTGAACTTTTAAAAAAAAAGCCGGAGTGACTTAGATGTTTAATTTTTAATTTTTCTTTATTCTAATTTTTTATCTTATATTTTTTAAATTATTACATAATGAAATTCTATACAATAATCTAATTTCATAACTGCGAAATTCTTTTTTATGAAAGATTTTTTTGGAAATTTTGAATAGTAAATATTAAACGTCTTGTATATCTTCTCGCCAATAATACTCTTAATATTCCAGAAATTTGTTATCAAATCATCTCGCGTTGCGAATATACCGTCTTGAAGTTATGACTCCTTTTATAAGCATCATGTCTTTGTCACGTGTTACCGGGCCAAAATCGCGTAAGCGTAAAGCTCTGGATCGTGATACGATGTTACAATGGCGGCTGTGATCGTGTCGGATGAATTTGTCCATGGAATCCACGCGGGTATTCTCGCCCCAGGCCGATACCTTTCGAGTACTACCGAGTCGTTAGAGAGCCAGTACGTTCCAGGCAGAACTGGGTCACCTGCCGCCCGAGGTAGACAAACGAGACGAGGGCTTTATAGGACGAAGAGAGGGTGGACGGAGGGCGAGCCGGCTCTTTGCTCTTCCTGACCTCTGAAGTGTCACTTCTCGTATTGACCTCAGAGAAAAAGAAAAAGAGAAAGAGAGGGAGAAAAAGGAGAAGACCATTTCCCTTCTAAGACTAGCTTTAGGCTCACACTTATTTCAGATGCAGCTTACCCGCGAAGCTCGCGAAAGAACCCGTGGAAAAGCCCTGACATTACCGGAGAAACGACGACCGATACCAGGGAAAGAAAACATCTTTGTGATGCCATTAACTGTGGCCTTACAGACACCACGCTCGTGAGAATGGACGCGAGGCGAATATATGAGATTGGAGCGAAGTGGTTTTCCCGAGGTAAAGTTTTCTCAACAACACTCGCGATTGTATTCCTAGAGTGGATATTAAAACATTATTTCGAATGCATAAAGCAATTATGCAATCAACCGTCTCGATAAAATTAATTTGTGTCGGATTTGGTAAGTGTATTGAAAAATTTATACATGTAATATGTAAAAAAGATTCTAGAATTTAAACTTTAAAAAGCAATTATTACTTTACTAAAAACTTTAAACTTTTTTAGTAATTCAAAATCTTAAAAAAAACTTATACTAATATATATCCTACATATTTATGAATGTTTTCATTACTGACAATTATAAAATGAGATTTTATTACTAAGTAAAAAAATTATTTTTCACTTATAATGCAATAAAATGAAACAAGGATTAGCTTATTCATAATATATTCCTGATATTCCTGAACATAGATTAAGTCTAATATTATTATATAACATTTAAATTAAATAACGTATCATCAAGATCAATTCTTGCTCATAAATTATTTATGATTACTTTATCTCATAAATTACTTCCTGTAAATTGTAATAACTTATCTAAACAACTTGATATTCAGATTATTTTAAAATTAATATAACAATAGATTTCACATTTATTATTCAGAGTCAGTTATACGGCTTCAGGCAGAGCGTGACGTGGATATGGAAAAAGTTACAGTACTTTGAAAATCCCCACATCGTTTACGTTAAGCTAAGAAAGTGAAGGCACAGGAAAGAACGTGGGTTCTCACAATTTTTGGCATTAATTTGATTTGTATGTTACACTCCACTATAGTTTATGTATCAAATTTATCATCGTCTAAAGCTCGTAACAAGTTTACAATCTTTGATATGTAAACTTTCTTCATATTTATTTAAAAAATGAATAATGGCGATCGAAAACGTTTTAACAGAGAAGTTTTGGACGTTATTAACGTTAAGATAATTCCTATTAAATCACACATTACAAAATATTAAAATATATAAAGTTAGTACTATCATTATAACAATCGACTTTTGATGTGTAGAAAATATGTTCATTAAAAAAGAAGAGAAATTCTAAATATTTTGCTTATTTTAATATCTCTCTACAGTCATTTAATAATTTCATTTATATATTTTTAATTGTAATTTTGAATTAACTATATATAAATAATTTCTTGTAAAATAAAAAATAAAAAAAATATGTATATATTTATACATATAAATAGTCTACATCTCATTTCAATAAAATCTTTTATAAAATTTATAATTTTAGACAGAGTTATATTTAGATGTTTAATATTAAGACACACACACACACACACACACACAACACACACACACACACAACACAGACACTAAAAGATTTCCTTTTGTGTTTTCAGTTATTTATCAATCCTTCGGAACGCAATTTCTTCAAAGTTCAGAAAATCCAAGATATATATTTCTTGTTTGTTACTTGAAACAATCTGAAGCACAAACGCATTCTTTAATTGAGATAAAATGTTTCTTTGACTGTGAGTCTTCCTTTGACTGCATATTTACGTCTTAAGAACAAATATCTAATCTCGAAGCCGATATAATTGCCAAAGCTATACAGAATGTGTTTTAAGAAAAAACATACACGGTTTTCCCGCAGACTTATTTTAATTTTTACGTTATGTTTTTAATCACAAAAATCGTGTATTACACTAAAATCTTTTTGCGAATCATCCATGCTTTGTATGCCATTAAAATTATAATACGAAATGTAAATAGTAAATTTAAATGCATATGTGTGATGCATATATATATGTGTGATATATATATATATATATCATATATCTATATATTGTATATATTTATATTATATAATTGAGTTACATATGCTGAGAGATCCGTTAACATTGATTTGCTCTTTGAATAATTTCTATCTTTTAATCTACAATTTTCGTACTCAAATTATAGATATATGTATTGTAAGTATACAAAGAATTCATCATTTTACAAGAATTATATAAAACATAATGTTAAAGATACATCAAATAAAAAGTATGAAACCTATTCTCGTTTATAGAGAGATAAGACTGCCATTTAGTTTTCATACTTAGTAGTATGAAAGTAGTATCCTTAAATTATATAAGTTACGATCCATGTATACTATTATTTCCGTAGTTTACAAACTTTATGCTTTCAACACTTAGCTGTTAAAAGTTTAAAGTAATGTTTCGTCGTGCAAAGTAAAAACAACGAGTGAATGCAGTACAAAATACGGGAAGGACGTACGTTTCAAAACGAACTAAACAACTTCGAACATTGAAAAATGAACCTTCAAACACGAATGTTCCGAAGTAGATTTTCAAAATGGATCTTAGTGTCCAACACTAATGGAAATGCAGTCTCAGGATTGCGATCGAGGACTTTTTAAGAAAAAGAAAAAGGTCAAACCTATTCGTGATTCAAAGACGGACATAAAAGTACAGGAAAGCTTTTTGTAAAACATACACTTTTTTCTTGCACACGGGTAACATGATGTATGACCTTTTACTTTATCACAACGTTCACTACGTAAGTGAACACCCTAAACATTTTATTTTATATAACTGTATTCAGTATGTAAAACTCGAAGTTCTATTAAGAAATCTTTAAAATATTTCTAATGACTTTAGTTTTATAAATAAAATCATGATCGTAACATAGGTAAATAAAAATTGTTTAAAGCTATCGCAAACGTATAACGCGAAACTTAAACTCGTAAATATTTGTCCTAAATTTTTTACCGAGTACGTTTTGTAATTATTTTATTTATCATAATTCAAAAATTACATTTTTCTAATTGTTACACTTTTGAAACTGACAATGAGAGAATAATATATAGAATTAATGTACATAATTGAAAAAAACTATTTTGTAATTACAAATAGTTTATTGAACAATGTATATCAATTCCATAATATAAAAATTGTATAATTTATTGTCGGTAGCTACAGTTGCTACAGTAAACTGATTGAAATAAGTTGATTCTTCCTCTATATTCTGATATTAAACAATTAATATCAACCTAAGAAATTAATGAACTAATATAATTTATCTACTAGAGAATGAAATAAATGTAAAATATTATCAAGTGATAAACGGAAGTAAATTGTATATATATATACACATATACAAAATAAAATTAGGAATCACTCTCTCAAAACGTCCTTTCAAAATAAGCTTTGGAGAGAAATCTATCGAGTTAACTTGCAGTCCTAAATGGTGTGTCCGGGGGCCAACAATGCAATTACATGGTACGTCGCGCGAAAAGTTTCTGTTGAGGAGAAAGTGTAACTAAAGCTTATTTTCCTCAAAATCTTCGCAAATTCTAAAATAGTAGAGAAGCTATATTAGTTCCTCAACAAAAGAGCGATATTTGGCTTAGTTATTAAAAAAAATAACTTTTACGTTCTATTAAAAAAAATAACTTTTACGTTCTATTTTTAAACTATATTACATATTTGTACATACATAAAATGTGTAGGATTGCTTTCTTTGCTTTTAATTTGTTTGATGTCGAATGTTTCAATAGTTTCAAAAGAAACGACAAACTTGTCAAAATATATAACACATTTTTCATAAGTAAGATAATGTGTAAAATAAATTAAAATTTTTTATTCAAATAAAACATTAATTTATAATATATTAATTTAATGTTAAAATAATAATAAATAAATAAAACTTAAATTTTGCATATTGAATAATTTTGTTACAATATTTTCTTTTATATATCTTTTATCATATTCATGAATTGATTTAATCTTTTTTTTAAAAAGATTATACTTTAATACAAAAAGCTAAGCGATATTTAAAATTAAAAAATATCTTTTTTAGATGTGTTATACGTAAAACATTGTGCATGCATTTAATACCGTTCGAGTAACTTCCGACAGAAGTATACAGAAGATACCATATAAATCCCCTCACAAAGAAGCAGAGGAATATATGTATCAACGTGCTGACATTGAAGAATATTTGTCATGTCACTCGTAATATATTAGGATACACTGAGCGAGTGCAAAGCACTGTTTATGCAGAATGAGCTGTTTTCGATTCCTGAGATTTCAGTCTAAAGGAAAGACGATAAATGTGAACGGAATCTGAGTTCTTCTAAATAAGAAAAGTTGCAAGAATGCTGAAATAGCTGACCCGTCCGTCATTTATCACCGTTCCGTCGGAATTGTTCGAAAAATAAGTTTAAATTGCCGGAAGTTCTAGCTAAATCTCTAATGGCTTTTCAATGTGCGAACTGCTTGAATTAGTTCATTACTCCCTCCCTGCGAAAGTTGTTGAAGTTTAATTAGAGAAAGTTTGTCGTCGAGCAATATACAAAATATTTTCGATTATTTCAAAAACATAAAATATATTAATATATATTTGTATATACAGATATATTTGAGATTTATGCAAGAATTTTAAGTCGTACGCACTTTTAAGAAAATTATAAGGACAATCTTGTAGGCTTATATTATTTAAACAAGATCGCATATTCGTTTGTTCATTCCAAATTTGTTATTATTAGCTCTTCGTAATATCGATTATAGAATTAATTTAAAAATGATAAATTTTTAAATAATTGCTGCATCATGAAGCGTAAAAATGAAATAAACTTAAAATTTATGTGAAAATATTACGTAAAAATTTATTTGGGGAAGTTAAAAAATATATAAAAATATATAAATATAAATATATATAAAATATATAAAGAGATAAGAATAGCAATTGTAGATATTCTTCAAGTTGCTTTTTAAAGAGACAAAAGGAAAGACCAACTCACTCTCTCTCTCTCTCTCTCTCTCTCTCTCTCTCTCTCTCTCTCTCTCTCGCATTTAATAAAAATACTTACAATTAACAAGTAAGAAGATAAATATAATATATAAGAAACTAATTTTCAGTTTCAATTCATCACGATTAACTTCATAACATCGAACAACGCTATCAAATTTCTCGCTGAAAAAGATACATACATTCTTTCCATGAATTTCATCTTGTTATAACTGCTATTATTATCGACGACATTCTAGAAGACGTTGTACTATAAAGAGAAGCTCTTCTCATTTAGACGATGTCGTAAGAGTCAAATTCAGTCGACGACTTTGTTGGATTTTCCTCAAAGAAAAATAAGCAAAAAACCTGATGTTATTATATCCATAAGGAACATGATGGGAGAAGGAGAAAGTGAATCCGCAAAAGAAAGAGCGGATTTTTATATTATATATAGACGGCTATTCATCTCGATGGGATAATAAGAATCGAATAGAGACTACTGTTTGGCTCAAGTGTCTCGGCCATCGATAAAGCTCACATATTTTCAGCTTACGCTGAGGGCTGCAAATGTTTATACTTTTAACGATACTATTCAAATGTTGCGATATTATTTGAAGCGACACATTGCAATTGCGCGAGAAATCACGTCTTATTGCAGGTTTACTTAATATCGGAATAATAATCGTTTAGAGTTTACGTGTATATGCTGCACATAAACAGAACTTCGGCTCGCGATGAAGTTACAATAGAGCTTACATATCGATGAAACTCCGGCGAAACTTTGTCATCTCAACGCGAAATTTCTTAAGTGTTGCATGACCACGAGATACAGGCGCGAGGCAGATTGCATCTTACAACTGGCCGGGTATTAAACGTCCGCATCGATGGACTGCTTGGACAAAGTTAGTATATTCGTGATTTGGAATATAGATTAGTTTGTTTTAGCATGTTCAATATTACTTCTAAAACAATGAACAATAATTTATTGTGTATAGTTTGTTGTTATTTCTGCAATGTTTTATATAAAAAGAAAGCAATTCTAATCATTGTACTTTCGTACGTAATAAAATATAATTTGTAAAATTACAGTCATTCTGCGTATTCTCATTTTGAATAATTTACGTCAAATATATAGTCTCTCTTTCTCTTTTCTACTATTTGCATTCGAATAAAATTTTAATGAAGGAATTGGAAGCAGATGTCTGTTTTTCATTCAAAAAGTTTATAACAGAAGCGAGCTATGGCAATTTAATACCTTGATAATTTTCGCAAGTTAAGCTTTACAAATGTAAATAGATAATAAACTTAGTATTTTAATTAGTTTCAAGTAATACCCAACTTTACATTTCAGTTAGTTTTAATAAATCACACTTTAAGAATTGATAAGAAATCCCATATTTCACTTACAATTAGTTTGTAAATAGGTAACTTCGTATTTTGATTAATTACAAAAGGATTTTATTTTTGCAGAACTTTAAATTAAAAACTAAATCTCATAATATATTCAATATATTGAGATGTAAAACAATAATTTTTCATAAAATTTTTATTATTAAAATGAAATATTATTAAACGTGTATAAGTACATTATATCGTTAAATGTTACATAGAATCTTATGTTATGTAAAACTTTCCGATAAAATAAGATATAAATATTTTATTATAAGTATATATAACACAATATTTATAAATAAGGGCCTTGATTTAAGCGAATGAGTAATTTATACATTAACATGAAAGTTTGCATAAAAAACAACTTGAAGTTAGCTTGCTCCACAATAATTCTGTAAGAAAAAACGCATTCGCTGAGCAGACGATTAGTTGCTACAACGCAACGTGATATAAAGACAGGAAATGGAATTTTATGCAACATATTAGGTTAAGTAAAAAGTCATCGCGTTTTTTTAAAAGACATCTATCAGTAAAAACCGCAATTACTTTCTTACCAACAATATAAATATATCTTAATAGAGTAAAGTTTCAGCTTTAAAAATCTCTTTTTTAAATTATACGATACGACAATTTTTAATGGAGTTATGAGCAATTAAAGTCAAAATAATTCTTTTATTTAATCCGCGATAACTCAGTAATCAAAAGTCGTAGGAATATTTAAAAAAAA